ACTTTTTCTCGGTGAGCTCATAACTCGGGGATTTGGTAAGCTAGAACCCTCAAATCATATGAGGGTAGAAAGTCTCAGCCAGAAAAAAAAGCTTTGCCTGTTGGGCAGGAGTTTCCTACACTCTCGTGTTATCAATAACAAAACTTCACAGCCCCTCCCTCCTCACCACTTAAACTGCCGATCCCCTTTTTATTTTATAAGCACACGCATCACGTTTCAGCCCTGTAAATGATGCAGTGAAAAAAGCAAAGAAAACGAACAACGGAAGGGCGCATGCACCAGAAGTTAACAGTTACGCGATAGCCATACTTTACTTCGCGATAACCTTTCAATCGCGACCTCGAATCCAACCACACTTCTTTAACATTGTCGTAGCAGCTCATATCTAGCACCTCATTCTGAAAATGCATTTCCTTCTGAACAAACTAATGTCAGGCATTTTAACTTCTCTCAAAAAATAATTCGATTAGCAGCATAAACAATCGAAACTAGTGGCGCAGAGCATGATATGCACGCAAAGGTGTAAAACACGTGCATTTGTAAAAAGACAATAAGATAGTTGTATGAATCGTTACAGATCCAACGACAATGGCCAATTCCTTTCTTTTTCCCTCATTTCCTTCCTCTCACTCACTCTTCCCCCTTCCGCGCCCCCCTCCCCACTCCCACGCTTTTATACTTTTATGAATGACCTAGAACTTTACCCGGGAAAGAAACAAGGACAGGGAGCTAAAACACAGTTTTTTGACGGTTCGCTCAATACACTACTGGCCAAAGATATCAAAATTAAATAGGCATAGTGAATTTGTGTTAAATTACAGCTTTCAAATGCGTTTAAAAGCAGATGCCCCACGGAATTTTTTTTTTCAGAAAAATTAGAAAAGTAAACAAACATTGGACATGGAGCTCGCAGTTGTCTCCAAGACATTGGCGCGTGAATACGACACGAATGGCTTATCCACACATACAAATAACCTGCAATTGCATTGCCAGGAGAAACCTTTCTCAGTTAGTACGGCAACAGCCCTTGAAGATGCCGAGAAATGCCTAGATGCTGAATTCAACTGTAAGAACGATAAGACTGTTATTCAGCACATCAATCAAGGTCTTTCCTTGAGGACTACTTGCCATCAATTGGACTGCCATTCAGCCATGTACGCTTATTATCTTTTCCCGCGGTTCCTCACCGGCGTTGTTTTCCGCCTTACTGGGATCACTCAGTGACACTGCCTAAACAGGGCTATGCGTGTTTCAGTAAAAACAATGAAAACTAACTTATATGCAGTACGATTATCATCTTGAAAATATGACTTGAAAAAGTAGAGGAATTTTTCCAGGCAAGACAGTGAGGTGGCAGTTGGTGTGTATTCTTGCAGGTATGACTGAAATTCACCGTCATTTCCAGCACCTGCAATCGCCGCATATGCTTCCTGAAAAAAAAAATGGGTAACAGTTGCACAGTTCTTTTACGAAAGCAATTGCCACATCGAATGATTAGGAAAAAAGCAATCTTCAATTTCTTCTGTCACTGTCGCCAATTAAAACTGATAAAAATGAAGGCCCTTAAGAATCATTTTTCTTCTTTCTACTGAAATCTGAGCAGTATTCTATTATTACACCAATTTAAGTGCGAGACAAAAGCCATACTTTACCGCCAGAAGACCGTCTATTGACTGTACCGGCTACAAAGCCAAAAGCAGAGAAAGGCACGAAATAGAATGGAAGGATTTCACGTGAATCCCATGTGTATGCAGTCTGTGTTTCATCCCCCAGCTGTATACACAAACCGAATTATGCACGAGGGTGGGAGCGGGAATCATCAGCACAGCCTTCTACCCGCCATGTTTTGAACAATCATGAAGAAGCGAAAGACAGAGATATAAGTAGCAGAAGAGTGAGAGATGAAGGAAAGAAGTTAATAAGTGATATGGACAATCATTATGCGCAATTATTCGGAACAGCTTTTTATGAAAATAAACTGCTCACTAAGCGCTTAGTTTCTGAATCACCAGGGAAGATAAATTTGCTCAGTATTGCTCGGTTTCTGAAGCAAAATCTGAGAATGGAGCGTTCTAGTTTGACAATAACAAACTTATTTTGTTTATAGATACTTATAAACCGTCTAGCCCAGTCATGGAATCCTTCAGGAAGAGTGCATATACGTGCATAACGAAGTAGTTGCGATAAAATAAAAATAGAAAATAAAAAAAATGACTCCTTCTTGCACCGTTTGGTCCATATCACTATCTGGATACGCTCCGTGATTTACGTCGAATGGGTAGTCTAAGGTTTTACTGTATATGCTGAAAACGCATCTGCTCTCTTGGCATGAAATTTCGAGGTCTAAAAAGCAAGCCCTTTGTCCGGGCTAAGTGGTGTTGAGTTGCAACCTGGGTCCATAAATATTACTGGCGATTTCAGCAAAGTTGGCGCAGTTAACAGTGACGATGTCATCGTTACATCGAAAGAGATGAAGATGAGTACTAGGATTTCTACTAAGGAACCGATACTCCATGACCGATAATGTCAGATCGGCATTATCTGGACTAGCATCACCTCCCACTGATACGCCTTGTGTTTGCTTGAAAACGTAACCACTAAATCGTTAGTATGTTTCTTGAAGAATAATTCGAAGCATCGCCTTAACTTCATCCTTTGTATAAGATATGACATCACCCGTAAATTCTTTGGCATACCAGGTTTGGGTTTTACTTACACCGATGTATTCTTTTCCCGCACTGGTGAAGCAGAGGTCAATGAGATAGAACAGGTTATCAATAATGTGAGAATGCAGTAGACTGGTGAAAAGGCTGCTGAAGTCAGCTGTACGTATATATTCGATCCTATTGCCTACTGTGAAGAGCTTCTGCACCACAGTTAGTGAATTGGTAATGCTGCAGCAAACGCGCCGTCCATTGCGTGTAGTCATTTGGGTACAGTAATTGTGAAAATGTTTCTTAAAATGAAATGATATACGGTGAAGAATAATCGAAAGACTTCGGAGGGATGACTTATTTGCTGAAGCGATGAACCTGTATCCATACGGGTCTTTGTGAGCTTGGGAACAGCATAGTTGAAAGGGACAGATGTGTCACTATCGGTGGTATGAAGCTGAAACTTATCTAAAATTTTATGATGGTCGAGGACTAACTTTTTTGGACGGGAAGCGACACTGGTCTATATATACTATTTCCTTGAATGTGGTTAGGGCTGCTAAGACTCAGCTTATTGCAATGCAACAGAGCATAGTATTTTTTGCATATAACTACGCAGTTGTTTGGCACTTTGTTAACAGACGTTATGACAA